GGAAGTTACGTACATGGGCGTCTGCTTGCCAAACCGATGTTCCAAGTCGAGGTTCCCAAAATGCTGTTTCTCTCTGGGGCAGCAATCGCGGTTTTGTCAGCTGGCACGACTCTTTGATCTCGGTCATCGTATCATGATTCTCGCGGTTCGTAGGGTCGAGCCTCATGTCAGGCCTGCTCTGGACAGTGGAAGCTGCTTGTGACTCTCTCTCTGCAACCCCCCCCCCCGCCGCCTCACTTTCTCTTCTCAAAATAACCAAAAAAATGTTGGCACTTCAAAGACCCCATGATGAAACACCTCAAAAAAGAGCCTGCCAAAACTTATCATCTCATGCAGAATTCTCTAATTCACTTTTGACTCAATGAATTAGCCAGCAAATTAGTCTCTCTTCTTGAGTCTGATCACCAAACTAAGTGAAACATAGTCCCTGCCTCCAAAGAACTGAGTAACACGAGGGATCATTTTGGGGGGCTCGGTATAAGAACACCTTTTTTTTTTTTTTTTTTATTTTTTTTTCAACGTTTATTTTATTTCACAGAGAGAGACAGAGCATGAACGGGAGGGCAGAGAGAGAGGGAGACACAGAATCGGTAACAGGCTCCAGGCTCTGAGCTATCAGCCCAGAGCCCACGCTGGGCTCTAACCTCACGGACCGCGCAGATCGCGTGACCTGGCTGAAGTCGGACGCTTAACCGACTGCGCCACCCAGGCGCCCCAATAAGAACACCTTTCTAAGCACGTTATATACCGTACCTTCCCTAATGCTCACACATCGCAATAGAGCAGCCACCACTGTTGACTTCACCTTGTGGATGAAACACTGAGAAACAAGAGGTTAGTTAACTTCCTCAACGCCACGGCGTAGTCTGTAGCCTAAAATCTAGAACAGCTTTTCCCAGTGAAACTCTCCGGTAGACAAATAAACTCTCACTTTATTCTACGGATTCTTTATAAAGTAGTCACCCATCTATTCAACCAATAAGGATACATTGAGACTCTAATTGTGCCAGATCCTGTTCTAGAGGCTGAAGATACAGCCATGAACAAAACAGAGCAAAGCCCTGGCCTCGAGGATCTTATGTTCCAGTGAGGTAAAGAGGTGCCTGGGAGACGGAAAATAAAGAAGCGAACAGTAGAGCCCACACAAGGGAGATGAGAACTGTGGAGAAAAATAAGCGGAGAGGGAGGTAAGGTGTTGCAGGGTGGCAGGTTGGCACTCTTAGTGGGAGGCCATCACTGAGACAGTGGTATTTGAGCAGAGTCCTGAGGGGCTGCGGGAGCAGGCCAGGCGGCCAGCAGGGAAGCGGCATCCCAGGAGAGAAAACAGAGTGCAAAGCCATGGCACGCGTTTCGTGCATGTATCGTAGCAGGTCGGGGAGGCTGAATGCAGTGCTATGGGAGAGAGGAAGGGGTTGGGGGTCAGGGAGGCCAGATCTCATAGGCCACCGTGACATGTGTGGCTTTGACTGAGCCTGGAGAAGCCATTGGAAAAAGCTTTGCAAAGCACGAGAACGATAGAAACTTCTTACATATATATTATGCATATCAAATTCTTCAGTAAGCCAAGTTTTGTTGTTTTTTAAAGGGTTTCACTGCCATCATATGTCCTGATGGGATGCTCTGAAATAGAGCATCACTGGTGTGGTATTCCTGCCCAAAATGCATAGCCTGGATCACACAAAGGAGCCTCAGACAAACTCAGATTCAGGAGCCTTTCACCAAAACAATGTCTGGTACTCCAAAAATGTCAAAGTCATGAAAGAAGAAAAAAGGCTAGGGAACAGTTGTAGATTAAAAGACATAACAGGGGCACCTGGGTGGCTCAGTCGGTTAAGTGTCCAACTGTTGATTTCAGCTCAGGTCATAATCCTGGGGTGGTGGGATCGAGCCCCTTATCAGGGCTCACGCTCAGCTTGGAGCCTGCTTAGGATTCTCTCTCTCCCTCTCCCTCTCCCTCTGCACCCCCCCCCCCCAAAAA